CCAGCCCGGGGGGGGGGTCAGGGCTGACACCCTGGGTGACGTCACAACCCAGTGATGACGTCAGAGCCTGTTTGAGGTGCCAACAAGGGGACCCGGATCTTCCTCTTTGTCTGGGAATGGGGAATGACCCAAGTCCGGGAACCCTGGGAGGGACCAGGTCGGTGTGTCAGGGGTGGGGAAGGGACTGGGAACCTGTCCTGGGAAATCCCTGCCCAGCTTCCCTGTCCATCCTGGGGGATGGGGAATCCCCTTCCTAATTCCCACTCCTGGAGGCTCAGACCTGGGATCAGCACCAGCTTCCAACCTCCCAAACTGGGAATTCCCAACCCAAATCCCAGGTTTTACCCTCGTCCTACAGCACTTTATGGAGCCCTCGGGTTTCCCCATGGTGACAATTCCCTCAAATCCAGAGAAATGACATCCCAAAGTCCCAGCTCCACCTCCCTCTGCCTGCTGAGGAAACAATTCCCATTTCCCACCAATCCATCCCCATTCCCACCAGTCGCCGCCAGAAAATCCTCCCAAATCCATCCAACCAAATCCAGGATTTGGCCAATCCTGGAGCTGAACCAACCCTTGGGAATCTCAGTGGAAAACCCCCCAGATCTGCTCATTCCCGTGTCCATCCTTTCCCGAGGACAAATTCCCACTCCTGGAGGCTCAGACCTGGGATCAGCACCAGCTTCAAACCTCCCAAACTGGGAATTCCCAACCCAAATCCCAGGTTTTACCCCCATCCTGGGGCACTTTATGGAGCCCTTGGGTGTCCCCATGGTGACAATTCCCTCAAATCCAAGGAAAAGTTACCCTGAGCTCCCAGCTCCATCTCCAGCCCCCTCAGGAAACAATTCCCTTTTCCTGGGGATAAATTCCCCCCTCCTGGAAGCTCAGCCCTGGGATCAGCACCCGCTTCAAAACCTCCCAGACTGGGAATTCCCAACCCAAATCCCAGGTTTTACCCTCATCCTACAGCACTTCCCGGAGCCCTTGGGTGTCCCCATGGTGACAATTCCCTCAAATCCAAGGAAAAGTCACCCTGAGCTCCCAGCTCCATCTCCAGCCCCAACAGGAAACAATTCCCTTTTCCTGGGGATAAATTCGCCCTCCTGGAAGCTCAGACCTGGGATCAGTACCAGCTTCCAACCTCCCTAACTGGGAATTCCCAAGACAGATCCCATGTGTCACCCCCATCCTGGGGCACTTTATGGAGCCCTTGGGTGTCCCCATGGTGACAATTCCCTCAAATCCAGAGAAATGACATCCCAAAGTCCCAGCTCCACCTCCCTCTGCCTGCTGAGGAAACAATTCCCATTTCCCACCAATCCATCCCCATTCCCACCAGTCGCCGCCAGAAAATCCTCCCAAATCCATCCAACCAAATCCAGGATTTGGCCAATCCTGGAGCTGAACCAACCCTTGGGAATCTCAGTGGAAAACCCCCCAGATCTGCTCATTCCCGTGTCCATCCTTTCCCGAGGACAAATTCCCACTCCTGGAGGCTCAGACCTGGGATCAGCACCAGCTTCAAACCTCCCAAACTGGGAATTCCCAACCCAAATCCCAGGTTTTACCCTCATCCTACAGCACTTCCCGGAGCCCTTGGGTGTCCCCATGGTGACAATTCCCTCAAATCCAAGGAAAAGTCACCCTGAGCTCCCAGCTCCATCTCCAGCCCCAACAGGAAACAATTCCCTTTTCCTGGGGATAAATTCGCCCTCCTGGAAGCTCAGACCTGGGATCAGTACCAGCTTCCAACCTCCCTAACTGGGAATTCCCAAGACAGATCCCATGTGTCACCCCCATCCTGGGGCACTTTATGGAGCCCTTGGGTGTCCCCATGGTGACAATTCCCTCAAATCCAAGGAAAAGTCACCCTGAGCTCCCAGCTCCATCTCCAGCCCCAACAGGAAACAATTCCCTTTTCCTGGGGATAAATTCGCCCTCCTGGAAGCTCAGACCTGGGATCAGTACCAGCTTCCAACCTCCCTAACTGGGAATTCCCAAGACAGATCCCATGTGTCACCCCCATCCTGGGGCACTTTATGGAGCCCTTGGGTGTCCCCATGGTGACAATTCCCTCAAATCCAGAGAAATGACATCCCAAAGTCCCAGCTCCACCTCCCTCTGCCTGCTGAGGAAACAATTCCCATTTCCCACCAATCCATCCCCATTCCCACCAGTCGCCGCCAGAAAATCCTCCCAAATCCATCCAACCAAATCCAGGATTTGGCCAATCCTGGAGCTGAACCAACCCTTGGGAATCTCAGTGGAAAACCCCCCAGATCTGCTCATTCCCGTGTCCATCCTTTCCCGAGGACAAATTCCCACTCCTGGAGGCTCAGACCTGGGATCAGCACCAGCTTCAAACCTCCCAAACTGGGAATTCCCAACCCAAATCCCAGGTTTTACCCTCATCCTACAGCACTTCCCGGAGCCCTTGGGTGTCCCCATGGTGACAATTCCCTCAAATCCAAGGAAAAGTCACCCTGAGCTCCCAGCTCCATCTCCAGCCCCAACAGGAAACAATTCCCTTTTCCTGGGGATAAATTCCCCCCTCCTGGAAGCTCAGCCCTGGGATCAGCACCCGCTTCAAAACCTCCCAGACTGGGAATTCCCAACCCAAATCCCAGGTTTTACCCTCATCCTACAGCACTTCCCGGAGCCCTTGGGTGTCCCCATGGTGACAATTCCCTCAAATCCAAGGAAAAGTCACCCTGAGCTCCCAGCTCCATCTCCAGCCCCAACAGGAAACAATTCCCTTTTCCTGGGGATAAATTCGCCCTCCTGGAAGCTCAGACCTGGGATCAGTACCAGCTTCCAACCTCCCTAACTGGGAATTCCCAAGACAGATCCCATGTGTCACCCCCATCCTGGGGCACTTTATGGAGCCCTTGGGTGTCCCCATGGTGACAATTCCCTCAAATCCAGAGAAATCACATCCCAAAGTCCCAGCCCCCGCTGAGGAAACAATTCCCTTTTCCTGGGGATAAATTCCCCCTCCTGGAAGCTCAGACCTGGGATCAGCACCCGCTTCAAACCTCCCAGACTGGGAATTCCCAACCCAAATCCCGAGTTTTAGCCCCATTTGGGCTCTCCCAAGAACTCCCAGTGGGAGAAGGAGCCTGTCCAGGACCTCCCCAGCTCCAGCCACCCCCACCCCCTGGGATCACAACGGCTCCATTGTGGAACTGGGCACAATTCCCAGCTTTCCCAGAGCTCTGGTGACGGCGCCGTTTGCCGGAGCGACGCGGCGAGAGCTCCGGAGCCCCCTGGGGATGGGGGGGGTTATCCAGCTGGGAACCAAACTGGGAACCAAACTGGAACCTGGGAGCTGCGTTTCCATCCCGGCCTTTGCCAATCAATGGGAGAACTGAAGCACTTGGGGCTCCTCATCCCTCTTTTTAAGGCTTTTCATCCCTTTTCCTGGCTCCTCATCCCCTTTTCCTGCCTCCTCATCCCTCTTTTTCAGCTTCTCATCCCATTTCCTGCTTCCTCATCCCTCTTTTTCAGCTTCTCATCCCATTTCCTGGCTCCTCATCCCTCTTTTTACAGCTCCTCATCCCTTTTTCTGGCTCCTCATCCCCCTTTTTACAGCTCCTTGTCCTTCTTCCTGACTCCCCATCCCTTTTCCTGACTCCCCATCTCTCTTTTTACACCTCCTCTTCCACCTCATCCCTCTTCCTGCCCCCTCATCCCTCCCAGAATCCCCGTTCCCACCCTGCCCCACCCCCCCAGCACATCCCAGTGCCCATTCCCAAGAGCCCAAGGGGCTCCAGACGGAACCTCCGCGCTTCCCAACGGGGCAGAAAACCTGGAATTCCAGATCAAAGAGCTGGGAAAGGAAGGAAAGCAGGAAGGGCCTCCCCAGGGCCTAGTTCCAAAGAGCTGCTTCCCAAAGGAAGTTGGGAAACTTCCTGTATCCCTTCGGGAAGTGCCAGGAACGACCTGAGCGACCCCCTCCCCCTCAACCAGCCACATCCCACCTGGAAAAGACTTTTCCACCTGGAAACTTCCCCATTTCCATCCCTTTTGGCAGGACAAACCCCCTGGGAATCACGCCTGGATCATTCCCTTTGGATTTCCAAGCCTGGTTCCAGGAGCAGGAGGTTTAATCCACGTCCGTCAGGAAGTGGCTCCAGGTGGAAAAGTTTCCCAGGGAGAGCAGAAACTCTGCGGATTCACCCGGAGATCCTGAGGGTGCTGGGAAGGTGGGAACATCCCAGTGATCCATGGACATCCTGCCATTCATCCCAGAACAAGATTCCATGGGATAAATCCCAACCCTGGGAAGGATGGAGCCACCTGGG